CTATAATAATATAATAGATATACGCAATTTATATAAAATTCAGCTCAAGCATCAACTATTAATTGGAAGATCATTTAATTCTGAAATCCCTCGTCATAAAATGTTCTTATGAACTTTCTTGATTTTTTATTTAAAGTTGTCAAATGCCCAAATCGAATTATAATTATTAGAATTAAGAATCAAATATTTTATTAATTTATTTTTTTTTTTGCCAAAAGAAGATGAACCAACACACCACTCAACACTTATTATTATTATTAAACAAAACAAAAAATGGCATGAACTCATGGGAAACATGGACAAATTAGAGGAACAAGCTCAGTAAAAATTTAGATCAAAGTTGGGGCAAAATTATCAGTGGGCCAAGATTTACTCCACTACGATAACAAATATATATTTACTATGTCTTTCGCTTTTTGGTTTAGTGATAAAGAAACCTTAAAGAAGATATTAGAACTTGAATTTGAACCAAACCAACCTCTCCCCCTTTCTATATAATAAGGCGTTGTCCTCCTTTGAACCGATATATATATATATATATATATATTCACTACTAATATATCTTGAAATCACCCATTTTGGCTGCATAATTAGTTGATTGCTTCACAGTTTAATTAACTTTTCTTCCTCATATCTATGACTAATGATTATTAATTCATCATGTTTACAACTTTACAGGCAGAGAGGATAATTCCTGATGTGATCAGGCTAATTGTCAAAACTTTTCAAATTAAAACATAAATAAAAAGCATTTTTTTTAGTCCATGTTTTGGAAAATATATACTATATTATTTGGTGGAAAGGGGTCTGAAGACTTTGAAGATAGACGATGGACCCCAGTTGAAGAAAATATATATAGGAAAAGAGATGAGTTTTTGTAGGTATATATCCTTGTCTTGTACCAATCATATCTCTTTGCACCTCAAACTTACCCACACACGTTTTATCTGCCACGCCAATTCAATTATAAACCATGTTGTTTAGACAACATGTTTATTATCTTTTAAAGCAACAGGTTTTCCATTAGCAAATCTATTCTTCCTTCGGTAATCATAATATATATATATATATATATATATATTGTATCACATCCGTATTTGTTTTATTAATTTTTTATTACAAAAAAAATCATAATTAAAAATAATTATATATATTGGTATTTAAATTTTAAAATTATTAGATGTCATCTTTTAAAAATAATCATATGAACTAATAAAATTAAGTGTCAAATTCTATTTGCTTCACTAATTAAGTTGTTAAAATATTGGTATTCTTAGGAGGAAGATTAATATATATAATAATTCAAATGTAATATTTGCAAGTCATGACAAAGTCAGCAATTAATGTAAAATCCAAGCTATTATTTTCCAGTAATTGATGGAATAAAAACATATATACTTAAAATATAAATTATTTAGTTTTAAACTGAAAAATCCTTTATTTAATGGCATAACAAAAATTAATATAAGCTGGAATACTACGACATCATATATTAATATCAATATATAAAATTAATTTTCTATGTCCCAATGGATGTCGTGAAGTTCCTTTGGATACCGATATTCCCTTTGCCAAATTGCTTAATTTGGTATGGTAGAAAAGTGTATTATATGGTGAGGGACGGAAAAATTAAATTTTAAATACTTGGAAAAACAAAATTCCAATTTCATTTACGTTCAACCAATCATTCAATCATTCAAACAATAATTTTATGCTAAATTCAATTGAGAGCATATCATAAATTCTTTCAACACTAAATATTGCGTACTATTTAGTATTTTCACGTAAGTGCAATTTCACCAACCAAATCAAGTATAATTAAGGTTATTTTCAAATAAATAAAAGAAAAATTCAATAGTGTCATGAATAACTCTTAAATTATAGTGAAATATTTAATAATTTAATACATGAATCTTAAAATTTTTTAATTTAATATCTGAATTATGAATCATTAACAATATGGTACGTAAAAGATAGGTTGTGTATCATATATTATCATTTAAAGTTAATCACGTTAGAAATAAAATACTATATTAATTAATAGATTTATAATTCAAATATTATATTAAAAATTTTTAAACCTCAAATAACATTTTAAACATTTCACTTTAAGGATCATTCATAACCTATTAAAAAATGAAATAAAAAAAATAAGTTTAATTTAATTAGTATCATATTATCAATTCAAGTACTACTTTTTTGGGAGTAATGAGAAGGAAGGGGATTATTGGAGAAAATTCAGATGAAGGACTTTTTTTTCATAAAGGAGGTTAGAATTTTGAGGATAGAGAAAAAAAATTATAGATGCTAAGATTTGAACATCAAATTAGTTGGATATCCATTGATTATCATAAAGGCATGAGAACCAGCTGCCTCTTTTCGACCTGTATTTTAGTTCAGCTGTTCAGGCTGGCTTAGCCTTATTAGCAGACTTGAAAGCAAAATATAGTTAGATCATATGATGCAAAAAATTATACTAATAGAGAAAAAAGGTTCAAAAGCATAGAATTAAAAAACCCTTCATATCATCTAAGTATCATAGAACTATTTAAATAGGTTTATAGTGGTAAACTTAGGGTTTGATCATAATTTTAGTCAGAAGCTGGTTATAGTTATCAGAAAGAGAAAGTAAATGAATATTTCTGCATTTAACAAGATCTTATAAATGAGAATTAACTAGCACCACCAATGTGATAAAATATAAAAGTATGGGTTTTTAAACATATTATACAAGCTGTGTGATAGTCAACTCTAGGTTATAAAAGCTGTGTGATAGTCAACTCTGGGTTTTTCTTTCTGCCAAACATGCATGTTTAATTTCATGTGTCATTATTAAGGAAGAAGACTCTCCAAAAAAAATTAATTAGAAGTACCCAAACTGTGAGGCCCACTTAATGGTCATTACTTATTGTGGATGAAGTGTAAAATCATTTCAATCTTTTTAATACTAAATAACAGAAAGAAAGGTGATTTGTTTTGGTTAACTATTCAATTTAGAATTTAATGTTTGTACGTTTTTTAATTAAAAAATTATCTTTAATTTAATTTAATATAAAATTAAATATTTTTAAATTAGTTCAAAATAAGATTTCGTCACTGCAGTACGTTGCATTTGCATTAAATTAGAGTGAATTTTTTTTTTACTACAAAAGCTAAAAGAAGACACTTTCTCTGTTTTTTACATTTTTGTTTCTCTCTCTAACAGAACAAGACAGAACATCTCTCTCAAAAATTGGAATCCACTGGAAATCAAGCTGCTTAGATTTTGGTTGTCAATCACTATGCTAGCTGCCTTCTTACAAAATCGACCAAACTCCCTAAATCTATCCATGAACCAGCGGCTTCAACCCCTCAAAACAGCCTCTACCGTTGCACCAAATACCACCAACTTCTATTATGACCTGACTTTTCCTTCAACCTCCCTTCCCTTTAAATTTTAGGCCTTGAAGCCCCCTTAGATCCTCTTGAAACCGAAACCCCCCTTTTTGTGGTTTTGGCGCTGTGTTCCTCTCTCCAGGTGATGTATTTTATCTTTTTTTTTTTAAAGATGTGGGTTTCGATTTTAGTAGAGGCAATGGGTTTGGTTGTTGTGTTTAGTGCAAGGTAGTAATGGGGTTGGTGGTGGCGTGTTTGGCCAGTGGAGACAGGTTGGGTTATGGAGGATCTAAGGAATGGGCTTTCGGCTAATAGTGTTGTGGGTGATTCTGTTGAAATGGGAGTAGGATTCAATGGTGGCCGAATGGGAATGGAGCCAACCTTTCTTCAAAAATTTTTGAAAGAATTAATATTTTTACTAATAAAAAATAACTTAATGGTTAATATTATATTTTAACAATGCCGTGCATCACACTTCCGTTGTTAATATTAGATTTTAGCAATGCCTGCATGACATTTCCGTTATGGAGTCTTGTTTTAAACCAACTCAAAAACGTTTAATTTTAAATTAAATCAAATAAAAGATGATATTTTTAATTAAAAAAAATTTAAATATTAGATTTTAAATTGAACATTTAATTTTTTTTAAGTTACACTCATAATTATTATATCTATATAATTAATTAAATAAATACACAATAAAATTTAAATTTAGGACCTTAAGGTTTTATAAACTCTTTCTTACCACTAAGTTAAAATTTAACTGACAAAGAAAAAAGAGTTGAATACTATGGTAAAATATAAGAATTAAGAACGATAATTCATCAATTAAAAAAAATATTTATTTTGAATTAAAGTTTAATTCAATTGGTTTATATATTATCTCTTAAAATATAACTTTTAACATATTTAAAATTTAAATTTCAATATTTAAAATTCCCTCTCTTATTCTTAAATGTGATTTTAAAAAATATATATTTATTTTTTAAAAAAAGTATTTATTAATTTGATGCCTAAAAGATGGGGCTCCATAAAAAAAAAAAAAAAGAAAAGAAAAGAGATGGGCCATTAATTGGGTAGTTAAGCATCAATCAAGACACGAATTATTTTGGGTTTAAGGAGCGTACTAAATCGAGGGTTGCTCAAATTGACTTGTCTCTAATAACATTCCTTAATAATTTGATGGTAAAATAAACAAAGGCTTAAGGAATCTTTTTTTTTTTTCTTTTTTGGTTGGAAATGAGATGTAATTATTATTAAAGGATTTGGAGAGTAAAACTCCTTTAATTGTCAGCATTTTAGTCTTCAAATTTCAGAAATTTCATTATCAACTTCAATATTTGGTGGAAAAATACAGATAATTGAAAAGGGGGAAATACTCTATCGATAATGAGCAAAGCATTTTTAAATATTTTTATTTTTTTGATATTTATTGAAATGTTTTTGTTCATATGGAATGGCTTTTGTCTGGGCTTGGGTCCTATCTCTGGCAGTTTTGGAGCTTTCTTTTGGGCTTCAAGTGGATGGACAAGATAGAATAAAGATGTCCATTAGAGAAAGCATTTGTCTTTTTTAATCATTTGTAATTGGCTACACGAAGAGTGAGCTTTTTTGTTGGATAAGACTGTCAAGTGGAGTGCAATAAACAAAGACTTTGTAGTTTCAGAACGTAATCCTCCCCGGATGAAAAATCATGAACAATTGATGATGCAGGAATCAGGATGACGAGGATATGGATGAGAAATAGAGGCCCCTTGACGCCTCTCATACGTTAGAATGTCCATTGGCTGCATCATTTTGTTCTTTGGTCAAGAAAACAGGCACACACTACTCCATAATTATGAGGGTTCAATCAGTTCATTCAAAGCTTTTCTTTCTACTTTGACCATGCTTCAAAAAAGAAGCAATGCAGTAATAACAAATTCAATTTCCCTCCTAGGTCTTCAAAGTGTAGCAGAAACTTAGGCACACCTGATAACATACAATATAGCTGGATGCAAATTTGCATGTCTCCATGAGGTCACAGCCTAAAGATAGGGGAAGAGATGCTGAGATTTAAACCCCAAACCTACTGGATGATACTTCTTAAAAATAATTACATAAACCGAGTTAAACTTCATGTTCAAATTTGCGTTTCTCCATTATTCGTACTTTTTTCACTGAATGTCATATGGCAATGAAGTCTAAACACAAATTTAACATCTCAGCTAAGATAACAAGTGGTGAGATCATGTATTAACCCATGGTGTAAGATGGGGTTGGTAAATTGATGACGATGGTCTTGATCTTTGTCATCATGTTAATGCTGTTGGTAATCCCTTGTGACCCGATTCCACTGTCTTTAAGACCCTGTTAACAAAGCATTTGTTGAAGTTCATGAAGCCAGTATAAGAAGAAAAGTATTCCAAGTAGGATTTTGTAGATTTTTTTTTTTTACCTGGAATGGGAAATGATCTGGTCCACGAGCTGGTGCAGAATTTATCCGAACCGTCCGTCTCCATTGCATCACTGATAATATTGCTTTATTGACATCCTTAGTGAAGACACATCCCTGCATTTCATATGCATATTTCAGTATCAATCTGCTATCATGGAAGAAAGAGAGATCTTTAACACTTTGATAAGTTTATCATATATACCCGGAGTCCAAAGTTACTAGCATTGCAATGGTGGACTCCTTCCTCAACAGAATTGATTCTTATTACTGGCAAAACTGGTCCAAATGGTTCCTCCCATGCAATCCTCATATCAGGTTGAACATTGTCTAACAACAATGGCCAGATAAGATTGCCATCCCTTTTGTACTCCTGACAAAATGTAGCTCCTTTCACTTTAGCATCCTTGACCAGCCCTTCAATGAAATTTGCAGATGACTCCGACACAACGGGTGTGATGTCACAGTCATCCTCCCGCAGCCCAACTGTTAACTTTGCCACTTTAGCCTTCACCTTTTCCACAAGAACATCAGCAACGGATTCCATCACCAAGATAACCTTAACAGCAGTGCATCTTTGGCCACTGTGGTAGTTGTAGGTACAAAAGAGTTGAGAGCACATTAATGTGTAGTTGAAGTGAAAAGAATTAGTGTGGTCACATTAACAGAGTTCGTTTTAACCTGTAAGAAAATCCTCCTTTTATTATGTTTGCAGCAACCAAATCTAAGTCAGCATCCTCAAGTACGATACAGGCATCTTTTACTCCCAACTCCATCTGAAGAGGGATCATTCCTGCCTTCTTTGAGATAGCAATACCAGTGTCTCCACCAGTAAAGCTGAGCAAAAAGGGATGCAAGTTATACACGGATGACTAGCTATATAGTAAAACAAGAGCAAATATAGCGCCCGCAACATGAATTGGAATCACCTTATACAGTTAACTCCATGATGCATAGTAAGGAAGTCACCAATCTCAGAGCCTTTCCCTGTCACACAGCTGATGAGCCCTTTGGGGAAACCAGCCAGATGAAAGCAGTGCACCATATGAAGAGCAGAAACAGCACCCTGGGAGAAGGTTACGGGAGACACTTAGATTTTTTATGCTAGAAACAATTTTAGGACACCAATCCCATTCAATTAAGTTATGTGTTTCTTTGTAAAATACATGTGTTGGTGGCTTGAGCACAAGGGAGTTCCCAGCAATTAATGCTGGTGCAATTTTTGAAACTGCCAGGTTGACAGGATAGTTAAATGGTGGAATGGCTAGAACCACTCCACGTGGAATCTGCATTTTAAATGCAACTTTAAATCATAAACTACATCATAAAAACATAGAAGATATGAAACAACAGGAGAGTCAATGTTTATACTAGTTACATGAGTTACATCTTATATTGAACTTAAACAAATCCACCAGTAACTTCGCATTGATAATTCAATGACAAAAGGAAGTAACAGAAAGAATTATAGGAACTGAAGAGTATGGTGAAAAACAAATGAAATGGGTAAAAGACTGATCAAGAGGTTGTTTTAAAAGGTTGGATTTTAGTACTTTAGGTCTTATCTTCAACATGTCACAGTATCAGTCGAGAATGTCAATTGTAACAAACTCTCAGCTGGATAAGCAAGAAATACAAATGTAAAGATGGCCGCTTGCTGCTGCATATAAAAGAATAAAAATCAACTAAAGATCTCACATCCGCTGAACAATCACAGGAATTTTCTCTTTTCTCAACTTATATGCTAGATGCGGATGCGTGCACGATACACCAGTCTGAACAGTATGGTGGGATGAGTCTAGATAGTGAATTTGGAGTATCATCTATCCATGGAGGTTGTTTTCTCAGAGTTCAATGGATGGATTTCCTTTAAATGTTGGAGTAATCAATGAATCGATACCGTAATTTATATCAATTCAATACTATTTGACAAGAACCTGAAGAAATTTACCAAAGGATAAGAAACGAATCTTCACCTTGGAGGTGAGGCAATATTTGGTTCTTTCATCCCCGGGAAAACTATCAGATACCAGGAATTTTCCTTCACCAAGAATCCTAACCCCCTCTTCAGCAGTGTAAGAAACCGGATCCCCGGACCTCACAACCTTCATGGAATCAGATCAAAACCAGTTTCCTTAAGATGACTTGTTCACTTCTGAACTGAACAAGTGCCTAGAAAAAATCAGGAACAAATTATATACCTCGGTAACTGCATCTTTGGCTGGTTTAGCAATTTCTTTAACCAGGCATTCAGCAACTGGTGCTTTATGCTCCTTTAGGATGGCAACAGCTCTGTGAAGGAGCTCTGCTCGCTTCCAAAGTGGAGTCTTAGCCCATGATTTTTGCGCAATTTTTGCTGATTCCATTATTTTGTTTACCTCTTCTTGTGTACAAGCTGTTTCAGCACCATAAATAATGAATTTCCCTAAGTTAACAAACCTGAAGATACCAGACTTTTGTGGGTAACATTTCTTTCTCATTTCTTTGTTTTGATTTTTGACAAACAAATAGAATCACAGTTAAGGCTCAGGTTTTGGTATATTACATAACTATATCACCTTGATCAATATAAAGCACCACAAAAGACAACAAAGAAATCGATTTACCACACGAAGCAAACTTAAGTTTTCAATTAGCTAATTAAAAAGGAACGAAGAGAAAAACACTCCATTCTTCTAAAGAAAAGCAAAACTTGATGAGAAAATTTTAAAATGAGAGCATGGATGTATGATTACTTGATTAGCAGAAACCAGTGATTTTACATGTTAGCTGTTTAACCTTGAACTTTTACTGAGTTTTTCTCGTAGTTCGGTTGATAATAGCAACAGTTTTTCCAGAAGAAGACTTTTTCCATTCTCCATCAGCATAGTACTTGTAACCATCTCCGTCCAGTATCTCCGCGAACACTCCAGTCCCAGCCATTATGAAAATGAAACTCACCCCAACAAAGAAAATCTAATTAGTTTCCTCGGATTTGCTTGCTCCAGCAAAAAATTCTTTCCTAGAGAAACAGGGAAACAGAGTTTGGAGGATAGAGTGAAAGGTGAGGCAGTGGGTGTCTGGGTACTTAAATATATAGGGAGAAGGTGAGCCAAGCCTTGCCCCTGTTGCAGCTACTTCGGACAAACGAGTTTGGATTAGGTGGATCACATTGTCCCAAGTAAGCAAACAAATGGTTGCAACTTTTTCCTTTTGCAAATTCACTATTTGCAGCTTACAAATTAAAACGTTAGTTAGCCTCGGTTTTCCTGTTACATCCACTTGACTCAGCTCTAACTTTTTATGCTTTTTTCTATTCTCTATTGTCCTGCACATATTGAAGCCTTTCCTTCCAGCAAGAAATGGCAGAAATGGATGTTTGTACTTTTAGCCAGTCCAAGCTAATAATTTCATGTGCCTCACGTCAGAGACGAGTTCAACTTGGTTTTAGTCTTTTAGTGTTGAGTTTGCCAAAACTGCTTACTAGACTCTGTTTGAAATATTGAATTGCAGTACTTACCTGTGCGTAAGTTAAATTTAGAATTTTAAATACTCCAAATTTAACAATATTGATGAAGTGTTTTGGGTTTGGTGAGCGGGAGCTTGCTTGAAAAGTTGGTTGGATAATTGACTTGAAAGTTCGTGTGATGTGAAATAGAGAGATAGTTAGAGATGCTAGTCTGAGATGTCGAAAGTAGGATTTTTAGACGCATACTAATGTTCAAGTCAGGAAAATATAGTATGTAAGATAAAATTTAAATGAAATTTTTTATATAAAAGTAGGATTTTTAGACGCATACTAATGTTCAAGTCAGGAAAATACAGTATGTAAGATAAATTTTAAATGAAATTTTTTATATAAAATTTATAAAACTTTTTTATATATAATTTAATAAAAAATTTGAATCATTAATATATGAGAGAGAGAATATGAGAAAAGTACAGAAACAAGTAAAATAAATAAAATGATAATGAATGGTTCAAAATAAAATACCGTGATCATCTTAATTTTTATATTAAATTTGTATTATTGTTATTAGTTGATTTATTTAATATTAATTAAGTGTTAAATTAATTAAAATAACTGTCAACATGACGATCAATAAATATTGATTTGACAATCAACAAACTATGCACACAGGATGATCAAGGTGTAACAAATGCAAAAAGTTTGTGCCTAAAAGAATGGAACCTATATTAGTCTGTGGTTACTTGCAAATCAATCAGAACAATAATTTTGTGCCTCAATGTAAAAAGTTGATGTACTCGGAAAGAAATTTAACCTTGGAAATTAATTGGTTCTGTTCATTTACGGCTACCAGAATTCGGAAACAAATGTTAGTTTCTTGTCCACCCAGATCAATGCTCCGATTTCCCTTTTACATAGTCGTTAAACTTGTCCCGAAATCAGGTATGGCACATGACTTCATGATGAAGCTACACATTTTTGGGTTGTTAACTGCACAATTTGAGTTAATAACATTCAATCATAATTTGATTATATATAGAAGAGTTAGGCAAAATGGATCAGATGAAAAAGATATCCTTTTTAGTTATAAATTGGTTGAACCGATATTGACTTGCTGATTCTTAATGTCTTCTTTCCATTTTAAACGTCTCCTCTAAGGTTGTTACCATCAACAATTTTAATGTTGGCAATTCTTTCCGAAAAGTTCAGTTGAATCCTCAGGTTAAATACAGCTGCGGGTTGCAAATGATTTTCAATACGTTTCCAATTGCATGTATGGTAAAGAATTTTATCGATCTGACATGTGAAACATGCTGAAGATTGCAGACAACTGATTAAAGTAATAATAAGTTGGTCGGTTTATCCTTTTACCTGCAACTGTTATCCTCAACATTGCCATGCCAACTGCCATACCCAGCTAGGATCATCCTGCATAAACTGCTGTGCCTAAGTCTCCCCCTCTTCCATTTGGAGTTCGAAAGCACTCCAAACACAGATTTTGCTGTGGATGGATGTTCTTTTTGACCACGTTACATCTATTCCTTCAAATAAAAATGGAAGTAAATTACACTTTTATTCATTCAAGTTATTGTGTTTTTTTCTTTTAATCATTCAACTATAAAAAAATAACAATTTGATCAATAACATTTATAAAATTTAAAGTTTTATCATTCAGCTAACTGTTAAAGAATAATGACTTACTATGGCTTTTTAAATCTGACATCAATAGCCATGACATCTCACATGCCATGTGGCCTTGCCATGAGCATATGCCAATTCACGTACACGGTTTATTTATTTATTTATTTTTTTTTTACAGCTGTGGTGGTTACTACAATAGCTGGTGAAATTTCTAAATTGTCCGATCAAAATAATAAAGATCACAAATTTCAAACAGAAAATGATAGCAGCTGTAGCCTTAATCATAGGAGAGTTAGCAGGAAAATAAAGCGGGAGGGTTCAAATCATAGTAACGGTTGATAAACCTATTTGGCTGCCTGCCTGGTTTAGAATCAGCTTAAGATACAGGCCACAAAACTGAGGTTGGTGGTAGATGTCTGAATGGTGCATCAGGTTCCATGGACCACTCATACAAGAGATGATCATGCTAATAACAAAGCCGATTGACCCACTAATCCATTCATATTGATGGACCTGAACGTATTCCTCGCTTTCATTTATAAAAGCCAAACACCCATCCAACAGTCTTTAACCTGCTGAACTAGCATTTGCTTGATGCCCTGTTATTTGTATTGGCGTTTGTATTACGCTCAGTCAATTATCTTTGGAGATAAATGGAGGAATCATCTGCCGTTTATATTATTACCCTGGCTTCTTTTGCTGTCTGAATATACGAAAGGAAAGCCAATAGTAGTAAGAACCGAAGACAATCATCATTAGCAACAGCATCAACATACGATTAGGACCTACTAATACATGAGTTGAAAACAAAATATGATTTGTACATACATAATTAGGGAACTGTGACTTAAAATACTTCAATTAAAAAATAAAATAAAATAAAAGAGGATGTTTACCTAAGTTTTACTTTGATCTGAAATTTTTTAATCCATTTAACGTCCAGATATTTAAGACCCAAATGAAATGCTAAGCTCGATTTGGATCAGCACACTGATGCAATTAAAAATTCTTCTCACCATATTCCCATGACTAATTTCGGCCAAACTATCTCACCCTTACCGAATTGGTGAAAAGATCAGACATCTTAGGTCGAAATAGAATTTATTTTTAGAGGGAAAAATGATTAAAGGCAGAAACATCATATAAAATTGTTGGATTTCAAAATGGTTTACCACATACTGAGCATATAATTTAAAATGTAAAAAAGTAGCCTACTTAAGAAACACCAGGCAGTTCGGTATTTCAACAACTTAGTAAAAAGAAATTTCTCAAGCACATTAATCTGTCGTTAACTATCAAAATTCATAAAATGACAAAAGAACTTTGCATCTACCAAAGAAACCATCCTCTGATTGCTTAATCCTTGTGCTGCTGAACAACTTCAACAGCCTCATGTTGTTCGCCATAATCCTGTGGGAAAAAGAATGATAAATCCCAACAATCATAAATACATAACATGCATGGCTAAATTTTCTACATCTTGCTTGACAATATAACTAATCTAAAACAAATATAAGGTGAAAAGAAAGAAGATGGATTGGCAAAAAAAATATTGTTAAAGTAAAATAGAATATACATCAATGTACATGGTCATACCTTGACAACCACACAAGAGCAACCAACCACCTTCCTTGCTTTCCCCTCAGAATCTATCTTACACAACTACATGCAGAGATGAAGCACAATTAGCATTTACAGCAATTAGATCTCTTTCAATTTGGTTGTAGAACTTGACAGTAAGTTTGTAGTAATATTCACTGATGAACAGGTTAGATAATGAAAGGGGTATGTTTGTGCGTGTAAAAGTGTGAGAAGAGGTATAACTCATGTTACATAAATGAGCAAGGAAATTTTACTTACACCAGCCCATTCGCCAAGAGTTTTTGCACTAGGCGCACGCAGCACTTTAACATTATGATCAGCACAGAGGGCCTTGACCAGTTTAACATAATCTGGCTGATCACAGTCATCGGCTATAACACAAAGATGTGCGTTGTGCTTTTCAATTGCCTTGGCAGCTTCATGTAAGCCACGTGCAAGCCCACCATGAGCTCGAGACTTCCTCACCACAAGGGGCAAGGCTGTGTTGACGTCCATTGGCTCACCAATGGCAGCTGCTACGTCAGTTGGGACAGCAACTGCAACTTCTTCTCTGCAAAACCATCAGGCAAGAATACGGCATAAATACAAGAAGAAAGGATAAAAAGGGAAATTAATAGATGAAATCTTTCAAATAAAAAAAAATAAAGACATCAGCCAGAAACAAAGATTAGGGGAGAAAATGACTGGTTGAAAAACTGCAAAAAAGGGCAAATTTTGTTGACAAAATGGAATCCCAATTAGACTTAATCTCAAGATGGGACAAATGGAAATACTTTCCCCAATTCTTATCAATGTAGAAAGAAATACCCAGTACAAACTCAGATACATCCCGTTTCTAACTAAATCTGGAACAACACAAACAACAATTTAAACAGGGCAAATCATCTCAAATAAAACGCCGGTGATACCTATATTAGCATACAATAAATAACATAGCAATTTATTACACACTAAAGCAAACTAAATCCAAAGTCTACATAGTGAAAATGCAGGCAACTTGAAGCCATATGGTGTATGGAGATATTAAAACAAACACAAAAACCAGATAAAAATTTATGGAAATACCACTGATATTCCGAGGAATACGTTATCACTTACCCGGACATTTTTTGGGCGGAAGTTGCGATCAGGGGTTCTGCTTCCTGGTAGCAAAAGAGAATAACAAAGTCAACCAAGCAGATCTCTTAGCTGATATAACGCTGAAAGCGAACACAAAAGGAAAGTTGTGTTCTTCAGTATTTTTTTTGGTATAGAAATCAATGGAATCGTTCGACGAGTTACAAAAAATAAGAGAATAAACTAGCAGGAATAGGAATAAGAGGCAAAGAGAAGATCCTAACTTTGAATGATGAAAATGATGAGCGGCGAACCCTATTTTTGCTTTGTCGGAGGAAGGAAAAGGGTTCTACGAAAGTGAAGCCATTTTATAATAAAACCTTATTTTTCCATTTTTATGGGCCAAGCTGATTTCCTCTTCTCTTTGCTTTGGGTTGGAGTGGGCTTTTTGCTTTGTCGACGAATTCATTACACTCTTTTATCTCAACTAGAAAAAAGAAGTTAGTTAAAATTTATCTTAACTGAAAAGCAGTATCAGATTTGCTATCATTTTTAAAATTATTAGTAATCATCAGTGATTTAAATTATCTTATTTGGAGTAATATTATAAATAATTTTTAATCTTAAATAACCATATCTGGTATTATATGTGAAAAAATAAATAATAAAATATAAAATATCCAAAATAATCTTATAAAAAAATATTTATTAAATATTTATTAAATTAACAATTTATAAAATAATCAAATATTATTTTATAGAAAACTATAAAATATAAATCAATTTTGATTAAAATAATTTTTTAAATTATTAAATATATTTATTATATTCTTTTTATCAATAAACATTTATTCAATTGAAAAAAAAATTTAAAATTAGTGATTAGAAAAATCGATTTTTGAACATTTTTATTGCCAAAGGCAATGTTACTAAATTTTTTGTCAAAGTAAATTAACCAAAAATAATATTGAAAATTACTTTTTCCGTGATAATAAAACTTTTTCTTAGAATCAAATCACTTTTCAAAGTAATAATCTTATTACTTTATTGATTTAAAATAACTGTCATGTAAAATTTTTAAATTGTTATCAAACAAAGTAATGTAATTATCGAGTATAAATTACTATAACTTTTAGATTAATTATCTCATATCAAATATTTTTGAAGAAAACAACCATGTAACAAACACTCTTGAAGAAAACATCCTATTCATGGTTGGTTGGCTTAGATTTGGTTTAAAAGGAAGATTCATGTTTGTCCTCTCGGCCTTGGCTTGAAAGGATATATTAGGATTAAATGATTTTGAGTCATCTACAAGGAAACCAGTTACTTGATAATTTTCTTTTCTTGTATAGGATTGATGTACGGGATTTTATCATTATACACATCTTTTTACAGCTTCACATTCTTCCTGTTAAATGAAGGGCCATCTCCACTTTGTTTTAAGATTAGTGTTAGCTTCGACTTCGTTTAAGAAAATCTGATAATAACAGGAGTTGGGAAGAGAAGGGTTTGCGGTTGTACATTCCAGGTGATCTAAGGCCAATTGGGGTTGTATAATCTTAGCAAAAATATAGAATAAAGAACAAAGAAAATAGGTTTCAATGGCAGTATGCTTCGATCTTTACCAAAATCTTCCCCGCAGAGAGTTTTAGACAGAGGTCTGACAACAAATTGACAGAAAAAAAAAGTCGCATTCAAGAGTCGGAATCATACAAATTACAATGAAAATAAAGGGAGGATGTGTAGGATAAGTGATCAAAACAATACTTCAGGACAGACTTCATAAGTATAACAAATTAGAGCACTTATTTCCCTGTTGACAATGTAAGAAATGAAAACAAAAATGATACTGTTAATAATTCTACATTTAAGCCATCACTCAAAATACATCAATAGATGAGTGACATAAATACCCATACCTACCAAATTCTTTTTAACATATGAAGAAAGCTATGAGCAGGAATGAACATTTAAAGTGGGTTCCAAGCAGAGTTGTAATTTACGACAAAGATTTGGTAGCAGTCTCACAGGGTAACCAACATAATAAAATTAACCATTCAAATCCAGCTATGGCGCCATCAATTGATCTTTGAACCCAAAACAAATATTTGACAACATTGATCCATCAGACGATTTATCTAAATTGATACTCTACAAGAATACTGAAGATTCATCTGAAGGCTGATCTTGATAGCTCTCAAAACCTCTTTTCTTCCATGTTTTAAAAAGCTACCACTGGTTCTTTTTTTCTGCTTTCATCTATTCCGTAACTCAACTAACAGATCCTATTTATAGGAACAAAATTCAAATTCAGTAACAACACAATCTAAAGATAACACTGCCTTCAAGATTCATCATACCAAAGCAAGTAATAAAGCATGTAATGACAATTCACTATTGAAATTAAATATGTACTAGAATTCTAGATTAAACAAGTAAAATCCAATTCAGTTACAGTAAAAATGGAAAAATACAAAGACGGAAAGGCGACCTCAAAACACATCAATAGTCTCCATTCATGAACAAACAAAGAAAAACACCGACAGATCACCTTTACCAAAGTACAATCGACACCATCAATTTCGACCAAGTGGTAGTGATCTACAGGTAAAAGTTTCCTTAAAATCAGACTTCTTCGAAGAAGTAAATATAGAAGCATAAACTTCCTTAGTAGCATTAGCCGGTGCCACATCTGAAGCTCTAAACTTCTTCATCCCACCATTAATGAATCCCTTCCCATTCTCAAGTTTTCTATTCCCTTCCAATTTACAACAACCCTTGTCCCCTTCCACAAGAACATCAATTCCCCTTTTCTTCTTCTCCTTCACTGTTTTCGCTTTCTCTTCCTCCATCCTCTCCCTCAAGGCTGCTACCTCCTCCTCACTTCCATTAATCACCATCTTATCAGACTCCACAAACTCCTTATGACAAAGCAAACAAGCTGACGACTTAACCTCTTTCAAAGCCTTGGCACTAAGCACATGCCCACAATTCTTCAACACAAAAAACTTATACTTCCCATTGAATTCAAGCCCCGTTATCGGGCACTGAAACGTGGCACCATCAGCAGCATTTGATTCCTTCCCGGGAATCATGGACAACTTAACATCAACCATATCTTTCAAACCTTTTATATGTCTGAACTCTTTGGGCAATTTCTTACTCAACAAAGCTTCAACAAGAGCTTCCTTATTGAAAATATTCCCCAATTTATCAATCACGCAAGGTTCTCTTAAGGGCTCATTAGATAAGGCACAATTGAGCCACTTACCGAGCCTTTGCTCATTGGGGTCGACTTTATCGGGCCTTTTAACGGCGTACATCTTGAGATAGCAGTCCCGGGACTCGGCTCCAGTGGCGCCGCCATCGCCACCGCCGCCATAGAGGCGGGGGAGGAGGAAGAGGGTGGAGAGATGAGTAATTTGGGGATTTGGGAGAAGGGTGGAATCAGAGAGGGGTTTCCCATTGAGGGTGAAGTAGAAAGATGAGAGGGATTGGGGATTTCGAAGGAGAGAGGATTTGAGGTGGTGAAGGGGTAGGGATTGGGTGGGATCTAGGGTTAGTGTTAAGGTTTGGTGAATTGGGGACCGGATGAAGAATTGAAGATGCATCTTTCGGGACACTTTTTGAGTGAAATCGGGATCTGAGAAAGGGAAATTGGGTGGGTGGGATTTGTAGCCGATAGCAGCGGCGAACACCGAGTTTGAAACCGGCGGAGGTTCAGCGATTTGTGGTATCACAAACAAGGGAAAAAACAAAAAAAAAGAAGGGGGATAATAAAGGCAGGAGAGAATTGATTCTTGAGGCCCAATATTGGAATTGGAAATAGAGAGAATGGCCCAGATGGGAGAAAGTGCAAACCCTGCTTTCATTGAGAGTCGAACTCAAGACCTCCCGCTTACTAAACGGGTGCTCTAACCAACTGAGCTATGAAAGCACAGTGGTCAAGTTATATTATTTCTTCTATAAGATGGAATGTATGGAACGTGCTTATCAAATTTCGTTGACAAACGCAAAGCAGGACCATGGCAGGAATGAATTAAGTTACTTTTCTTTCATGTTGGGTGATTGAAATAGTAGTAAATAGTGTTGTAACCCCGTTTTGCTTGGGGTTGGTTAATGTCAATAATTTTTTTTTAACATACAGTATAGAGATAGATTTAAGGATATTTAAATGTATTATAGTTTGTGTTTATGTACCAAATAAAAAAAACTTGGAAGTTACACATATAAAAAACATATTACAATTTAGTGAAAGATGACAAGCTAATATTACAATTTTATTTTATGTACCAATCAATATATATCAAATGAACCAAAAACATGTAAACAAAATCATTTATGAAAACAGACTTTTTCAAATAAAGTCTAACTTAAAAAACATTTTTTATTTTCTCACCCAAAAATCTATTAGACTCAAAAAATGAACAGCTTTTAAGCCTATTATATGTCAAAAGCTTATATAATAACAAACTCTTTCAAACAAAATTCAACCCATAAAACAACCTACATTTCTTCACACTCTAAAGCCACATTATCTTAGACCCTAAAGGCCACTAAACTCAAAAAATATAACAATCGTCATGTGTAAAAAGCTCGAGGAGTTCTTCTTAATAGATAGAAGTATAAATATTTAAAATCAAGAAAAAAATTCAAGTGATCATAAGTTATTTCAAACCAATTTGATAGATCAAAATTGATTGAATTTGGTAAAATTAAATCGGTTAATTTGGTTTCAATAATAATTTATTAAATTAATTAATTAATTAATTAATTAATTCAATTAATTTTTTGTTTTTTGAAATTAATAATCAAATCAATCAAATTAATTCATTTTAATAGATTTTTAAATATATTAATATAATACAAATATATATAATATTTTTATTTTTATTTTTAAAAATAACGAGTATAACATTAGTGATAAAACTAAAGTGAGTTTTATTGACAAAAACTGTTGCAAATTTAATGACACAAAATGATGAAAAAATTTGGGTTTACAATCTAACAATCAAATCAACAATCTTATATTGATATAATTATTTTTATTTATTAAAAATAATTGGATGGATTCGATTATTTTTTAATAAAAATCAATTAAATCATTTTTAAATTTTTAAAATTGAATCTATCAAACTGACTTTAGCTAATCTATAATCCAGATCAATAGTAAAGAATAGTAAAGACATTCTATAAATTACTTGCATATTTAGGAGTCCTTACATATTAGAGCTATATTGTCCAATTTGCTTGGTAAGAGAATAGTAATTAAATTAAATGAAATATAAATTACTATACTTACCAGTATTAAATAATCAATTTACGAATTTTTTTTTTTTTAAAAAAAGTAGTGACAGCTGACGCAACAGCGGACGCAAGTGAAAGGTAAAAAGTATAAATAATGTTGCCTAGTCGTCCCCTCTTCTCTCTCTATAATTTTGTCTCTTCCATGTTGACGTTGTTACGACGTCAACACAGGGAAGGGCAGCTTTTGGATAAAACCTTTCTTTATCTTCTCCATCCCGTTAAACATTAAATCAAAAAGATCTTAAACCCAGAAATCAAATTCTCCTCTTCCTAAGAAAATAAAAGTAAAATCCCATAAACCCTCGTGTCCTCATTCATTTCATCTCTCTGAAGCTACATATTTCGATTCTAATCCCATTGTCATTGCCTGCAATCTGACATTTTTTAGTGGGCTTCAACGTTTCCGAAGTAAGATCTCGTGTTCTTTACCTTCATTTTCTTTTTCTAATTTCTTGAATTTTCAAGGCTGATTGGTTTTTCAAGAGATGGGTTCTTGTTTTCTTTTGATTCAGATAAATGGGTTCTTATTGGTTTTTTATGTTGTTATTGCAGACTCTGGGGATTTGGGGTTTTGTTAGTTGTCCAAAAATCAAAACTTGTTCCTTACTTGGCGAAGAAAGATGTCGATATGGCCCAAAAGTGGATCAATTCACATAAGGGAAGTTTGGGGCGAGAATCTGGCTTGTGAATTGGAGTTAATTCGAAATATCGTGGATGATTTCCCTTACATTGCTATGGACACTGAGTTTCCGGGTATTGTTCTACGCCCGATAGGCAATTTTAAGAGCAGTTCTGATTACAATTACCAAACGTTGAAAGCAAATGTTGATCTTTTGAAATTGATTCAGTTGGGTCTTACTTTCTCTGATGCCAAAGGGAACTTACCTACTTGTGGAGCTGATAAATATTGCGTTTGGCAATTCAATTTCTGTGAATTCGATCCCAATGAGGATGTTTATGCTATTGACTCCATTGAGCTCTTGTCTCAAAGTGGCATTGATTTCAAGAAGAACAAGGAAAAGGGTGTTAGTGCTCATCAATTTAGTGAACTGTTAATGTCATCTGGGATTGTGTTGAATGATAGTGTGCATTGGGTGACTTTTCATAGTGGTTATGATTTCGGGTATTTGCTTAAGTTGCTTACTTGCAAGAATCTTCCTGATACGCAAACAGGGTTCTTTAGTTTGATCAAGGTATATTTCCCTACTCTTTATGATATCAAGCATCTGATGAAGTATTGCAATAGCCTTCACGGTGGGTTGAACAAGCTTGCAGAGCTGCTAGCGGTGGAGAGGATTGGTATTTGTCACCAAGCTGGTTCGGATAGTTTGCTTACTTCTTGTACATTTATGAAAATGAAAGAAAATTTCTTTAGTGGGTCGCCAGAGAAATATGCTGGTGTGTTATATGGTCTCGGTGTAGAGAATGGACAGAATACTGCTTAAATATAAAAAAATTATGAAATAAATTCTAGTTGTTATACTTTGGGTTCCATTTGCAATTTACTTCTACCCTCTGATCTCTTATCATCAGCCTAATTTAGACACCTCACTGTCCTTTCTATCATCATGGATATATTATTGTGATCCAATTTATGACATTTGATCGACCTGTTATATACTTGGTCGTTTTATTCTTTTTGGTTATCAAAGAAATGAAAAATGCATGTGAGTGAGAGAGAAAGTGAGGAGGGATAGAAAAAAAAAATGTTTCAGAATGGTCAAGGGACAAGGCTTTCTTCTCCTGAGATTTTCTGTCTAATTGTAAGCTTACTTTCCAGAATCCTGATAAAGATATGGTCTGGTCTGGTCTTCTGAGTAATTCCTTTCAAAAAGATAGGTAGAAGGATAATTTCATGGTGGTTGAGCTATTCCGATGTGTTTGTTTACCGATAGGGTAACCTTATCCAAACGTGTAAAATATGATCAAATATCTACTCGATTCTCTTTCTTTCACTGCAATTGTTTCATCGTGTCTCAGTTCAACAGCCCCAATTCGGTTTTGCCAAGGAGTAGCTGTGAGGTAACTTGGCGATAGTTGATTCTAAAGACTGCCATTTTGCTGAGCAGATGCTGTATCAAGATTGCAGACATATCAGGTTATTGTTAATCAAACTTTAAGAAAAGCAAAAATAAACTGCAAGATTCATTGATCATCATCCCTCACAATTAATTATATATGTTCCTATTGTAAAATAAGCATATGAAGTAAAATTGGGGGTGGGGAAAAAGATTTCATAGGACCCTCTGAGACTATATTTCGGCTGTGCAGTTGGAATGTTCTTTATTATTCTATAAAGTAAAAGTGGCTGATTAGATTTGTCTATGCCGGCATCTGGGAAAGGTACACAACGATGATGAAAAAGAAGGAATAAAGAACTCAATGCGGTGCTTTACCTTGCATCATCTCCTTTGTTTCCTATCAATACTCAGCACTATATAAGCAATGGCTTCCTTCAATGAAGCTTTACGATTAATCCTTTCCTGGAGTTCCAGGGCTCACGGACAGGGTATCTGCCACTTGGGTTGTACTCGTTTAACTCATTCAAAGCTGTTACCACTGCCTCATAAACCTCTTCACCCCAGTCTTCCTTTCACTCTTCTATCATTTTCGTTCAAAACTTCCTGGAACATGTAAAAACTTTAGTCACACAGGTTCTTGTTTGTTCAAAGAACGCATTTCCATCAGCGTAGGATATGGAAAAGACCAGCAGAACAGAAAATAAAACTTCAGAGGCATACAACATTTTACACTTCAATCTCCACGACCTTCAACAGATGCCCTTGAATCCTGTATATCTTCCTGCCATTGGATGCAAAACTTGGCAGCCTCCTCCAGTACTTTGTTCACTCCTCATCTCTTCTTAATGCGTTTTGAAATGGCTTGATGCTAATATCTCCCACTTCCTTTACTCCAATAGCTGTACGATTAATCTGATGCCCATCCAACCCCTACAATGCAAAAAGTCTGGCTTCAAATTTGTTACTCGAGTTCTCCAATTTTGGAAATTTACATATTTACTTCCCTTAGATCATCTTTTGTTTTTTGCATTTACTTGAGACTTTCTCCAATATACATACATAAATATATATATATATATATATATATATTATTAGCCAGTATATAGAAGTATAAGGTAGACAAAAAAGGTATATAAATCATACTGCTATCATTTATTTGCGAGCTGCTTGTAGTTGGTTTCTGATTTCGCGTTCCTTCACTATTAGCACTTTATTCAGAGATTCAGAATCTTCCAATGCCTCAACCTTTTCCTTCAATTCTTCTTATATGTCCCGCATCATCTTTTGCATTCCCTTATCATTATCACCTCCCATGGACTCCAGCACCTTTAGTTGCCCCTTTAATTTTTCAATTTCCAATTTCCAATTGCAATTTATGCTTGTCAACCATTTTTCTGTTTAGCTCAAGAATTTTTTTATAAAGCTGCCCTTTTCTCCCTCTACAAATGCATAAATATAGTCAAATAGAAGCTTAACTAATAACAGTCGGCAAATAAAGATAAATATAATAAGAAGACTGATTGCAGTTATGTCTTATGAGAGATTGAGAGTAATACACACGCCTGTTGTTGTTGAAGCGGCATCAAAACTTTGTTATTCGCCATTATTTGAATTTCCGAAGCCCAGTGGAGCGAGTCATTTTTCAGACAATTCAACAGGGAACATAAAAATTCAGCATAAAGCAGCTTTGCATTTCATGTAGAGTCTATATTTATATGCACAAGCACTCTATAATTATAAGAGAGTATTCACAGTTTTCTCGAATGATTCTGAAAGTTAAGAGGATTACCGTTAGGGTCATTTGATGGTCAAAAATAATATAGTAGCTTTTTTCTCTCTTGGAATCCTTCAATAGACAATAAGCAATATTTTTATCATTTGAGTCGATCTAACATGTCAGGTCAATCTAACATTCTCAATATCATATCAGTTTGGTATTTTTCTTATTGTTCCCCGATGATCTCTTATAGTTTACCTATAAATATGAAGATCCGGGCACCATTAGGGCAGGTCCACTCTACTCCATTTCTCTCCTTCTTACTTCCTTTTTAACTTGAATTTTTTTTACTTACATGTTGGAGTGCAAACACAAGGAGCACACCCTGTCTTTACTTTTAACTGCACTTCTCTTCTGCCTTTACAAGAATATATTAAAGTTGGAGCTCTATACCAATATTTGGAGTGCCAAGTAGGGGGCTCTTTTTTTTCATTAACCGAGCATAAAGCAATGTTGCTAAAGAACATAATCTTAGAAGAAGGAGAGATAGTTGTGCCAACTAGAATAGAAACCCATCATAGTAAGCATTACGTTCAATTGGCCCAACCACAAGTGGGCCTGACCATGGAACAATTTCAAGCTCTAATCGAACAAATACAGGCTCTCAAGCAAATGTTACAAACCATAACCCCACCTTAAGTTTCGAAAATGCCTAACTTAATCACCCCTGGCCTAGAAGCCACTATCAGACAATCGAGTTACGAAGAGGTGGAAGCCTCTTCAGCCTCCAAAAAAATGAGCACACAACCCCAACCCACCATTACCCTAGCCACAATTCAACATAGGGTACGATCCAAAAATCCAAACAAACAAACCCCAAACCCCAACCGAACAAAGTTTTAAAAGCTCGGATGTAGGCCATAAAAAAAAAGATAAAAATGAAAACAATAGCCTTTAAGTATGAGCTTAAGTTTCTAGAGACCTTGCCTTTCACTGAAGAAATTTATAAAGCCATGCCTCTCAAAATGTTTAAAATGTTGACCTTGAAAACCTACGACGGTACTTCTGATCCCTTCTATCATATGGACTTTTATAAAACTAATATGATGATGCATGGGGCAAATGAAGCGTTAATGTGCAAAGGCCTAGTTACTACACTGAAGGGTGTAGCTCAGTCCTAGTACAATAGCCTAGAACCAAAATCAATCACGACGTTTAAGGAGCTCAACCACTCTTTCTTGTCCAAGTTTGTGAGTAGTTAAAAAGCAAAGAAGACAACTCTAACTTTGACGTCAATCCACCAAGGACGGAATGAAATTTTGAAGAGCTATGTCACATATTTTAACGTGAAAGTTCTGCAAGTTAAGGGCCTATAACAGATGATGGCTGTAGCCTTCCTGATAAGTGGACTCCATAATAAAGAATACCACTTAAAGTTAATTTTGTCCCTTGAATCACCTAAAACTTTGGCTGACGTCCTATTGATATTTGAGAAATACATAAATACTAAAGCTACAATGAAAACTAACTAAGGTGAGAGAGACTCATCATCTCTCTTCAATCGTAAGAAAGGTAAGGATTTTTATGATCTTCCCCCAATAAGGAGACAACATAGGACTAAAAGCCCTAGTGAAGAAAGAAGCTACACTATATTAAATACCTTCTAAGAGAGGATTCTAATACAAATTGAAAGAAACCCTGACCTTAGATGGCCAAAGCCACTGAGACAGAATATAAAGAGGGATCTGACCAAAAGATGTATCTTTCACATAGATATAAGTCATAACATTGAAGATTGCATTGACCTAAAAAATGATATTGAAGCTTTGCTAAAAAAAGGTCAACTGAAAAGATTTATGGGACAAAGAAGACAAGACCAATCTAGAACGGACTAAAGGTAAGATAAAAGAGGGCCCGTTCAAGGCAAAAAAAGAAGATTAAAGCATGAAGAAAAAAGCCCGAGGAAACGAGCCAATTCAAGAAGAGGTCCGAACTGATAATACCAGGCCAATTATCAAGGTGATTAATGTAATCACTAGGGATAACTCCACCTTAGCCAAGAAAAAGTTTAAACCAAACATGGTTATAGTGGTAGACACCTTGGCAAAAAAAGAAAAAAACTAGAGAGATGAGTTGATCTTATTTAACTTAGAAAATCTTGAGGGAATCCAACACTCACATAATGATGCTGTAGTAATCAAAGCCTTAGTATACAACTATGTAGTAAAAAAAATTCTATTTGATAATGGAAGTTCAACTGATGTCATGTATAATGGTTGTATGAAGAAAATGAAAATTAGTAAAGATCAATTGAAGGCGATTATCGTGACACTTGTAGGGTTCGAGAATGAGCAGGTAATAGTAAAAAAAACCATCAAGCTTCTGATCTTCTTTAGGATTGAACCAAAGACTATCACTTTAGTTGTAGAATTCACAGTTGTAAATGTCCCATCAGCTTATAACATGATATTAAACTGACCTAGCTAATCTGTTATGCAACTTATAGGCTTAGCTCCCTATTTAAAAGTAAAATTTTTAACACCCAATGAGGTTAAAAAGGTTTAGGGAGAACAATCCATAACACGACAATATTATGTTACAACAATGAAGGGTAGGATTGGGAAGCAAACGGGTAGTTTGATAGAAACTGAGGTCAAAAGCAAAAAAAGATAACCACCAAAAATTAAAAAAAATCAAAAAATCATTAGCAAGAGCACAGAACATAAAACCAACTTGACAAAAATGCACTTTTAAACCGCTCTAGCTTTTAAGTTCTAACAAAAAAAAAACTTTTATTTTATTTTTAAAATTTTTTGAGCTAACTTTAAAAATAATCAAGCTTTTAAACCAACATGAATAACTACATGTCATTTAATCATATTAGATCGAGCTAATAAACGGGTCAAAATACAATTTGAAATGAAAAATACATACTAATTTTACTGCATACATATTTAACAAGTTACCCATAGTATACTGATTATCACGTCCTTAAATATTATACCAAGGTCATAGGAAATATATATAAGGATCTCGGCTAGTTAGTCTTACACCATACGGTTCTCTTCTCCGCTGCCATTTTTTTCGATTAAGGTACTCCTTTTTCTTGTTCCTTTTCAGAACCCTCATCAAAATCTTTACCAATAGAATAACCTCACTCTTAAGTAAGAGTAAGATTCTGAGATGAAATAGTAGCTGAGGATAACTCAATTCCAAAAAAAAAAAAATGACAAGGTGAAAAACTTTTAGGAGAGGAAGAGATCTTAACAAGAATTGATTGAGGAGGAATAAAAGTGATAATGAGAGCATCAATAGAGGGAGAGTAGAAAAATAAGAAAATTAATAAGATTAAACCCCAAAAGAAGGAACAATGAAAATGAAAAAAGATTAGTCATAGAAGATAGATCGACATGAGAGATAGGGAAAGGTAATGAACTCTATAAGTCGAAGTTAATCTAAATACACAACTCTTTCATACTCAGGAGCCGTTCTTTTCTTACTCGATCATTTTTTGTATTTCATCACTACCTTTTCTTAGACATCAAATTGAACCAGTAGGTTGTCCTTTCATAATTATGGCCTCAAATAATGGGTGAAATTAGATCGATGTCTTGTTATTGTACTAACCTACTCTAGGTTCTGTCTGGTAATTTTTGACTTTCTCAGAACTTATACTAGATGATATGAATAAGAATACATACTGAAAAAGGTGTGAAAAAACTTTAAAGATTGAAAAACTTTTGAAAATCAAAAAGTTTAAGTCATATTGAGAGTAAAAAAAGGTGAACAATTGAAACTCCAATGAATTTTTGTATAGATGAGCCATAGATCAGATAAATGACATAGGTTATGCCACATATCGAAGCAAAGGTAGGAAGACATCTTTTCTTCTTCCCCCTTTAAATTTTTTCGGTCAGACTACTTTTCTTCTTATTCAATGTTGTTAAACTGGCCTAATTAGATGAACCTCAAGTCATATCAACTAAACTGAATGACTTAGCTAAGCAAACCGAAAGCCTAATCCACCATCAAAGTTCAAAATAAAAGCTCAAATCCAAGCTTTTAAAATAAAATACAAGTGTTACAATGACCAAATGAACTCTAGCATTAGCCTCAAATCAATTCGAATAATTATCACCTCAATAACCTTTAAGCTAGCTATGCACTTAACCCAAGACACATGCGTGAGATCAAACAAACATAAGGTCAAACCATGGCTTAAAGCTAGTCCCTTAAGATCGACCTCTATTTATAATATTGGTTACAAAAAATTAAACTTTCAAGTTATCTCTTTTAACTAATTTGCCCTACACCAAAGGCATCGATCATACATTTAATGACCTGCTTCTTAGACTACCTAATGAAAGGACAGAATGTTAGGGGCATTTGATCGTTAAAAATGTATTGATTTTTTTTCTTTTTGGATCCTTCAACAAACAATCAAAGATATTTTTATCATTTATGTTGACTTGACATGTCAGGTCGATCTAACATGCTTCATGCTACATCAGCTCGATATTGTCCTTATTGTCCTCTAATGATCCTTTATAGTTTACATATAAATATGAAGGTCCAAGCATTATTAAGACAAGTCCATTTTACTTTTTTTCTCTCATTCTTACTTTTTTTTCGACTTGAATCTTTCTAACTTGCACGTCAAAGTGTAAATGTAGGGAACACACTCTGCTTTTGCCCCTAACCACCATTCTCTTTCGCTTTTCTAAAAATACCTCGAAGTTAAAGCTCAACACCAATAATTACCTTTTTTTCTTCTCATTTTCAAACATTTTTCCCATATTAATTAATCTTTTTGCTCTTTTAGTTTTTTCGACCATGGATCAAGTTCTTATCTTTTATAGTCTACCCCAAGCTTTAATTTTTCAATTTCCTCTAGAAACTCTATAAGCATGATCTTATGCAAATACATTGTAACTTTTCCATCTCCAAAAAACAAATAAATGAAAATCAATTTAAAATCACTTATGCAGCGATGCATCTATAAACACACTTGACCAAAAAGTCTGAAAAAGTAAATCTTGATAAGGAGTTGCACAAAAAACTAAGTTTATGAAAATGATGCATGCTCCTAAAGATGACCATTATCATCCGCCTCTTAAATAATTATGGGCCTTATACAGTTTATCATTCTCTTTGATTATTCTACTAAGAGAAAAACTATTTTCCTTGTATTTGCAATGCATCCCATCTAGTTGTATCAAAATCCGTGGCTAGATTCACATAATCTTGTTTATTCCCTCATTTCCCCTTTGCATTGATGTTCAAGAATGTATTAGGCTCTAGTTTTCGATAAAGATAATCTCCAACTAGCCCTTGTGAATTATAATCATCAACCTAAGCACATCATCCATAGATTACTGAACCAGGATGACTTTTCCTTCTATTTCAATTCTGTTTACCATGTTCAGTGGCTGTAAAATCCTTTTTAAGGTCCATTGTATTATTAAATCCAATACAATCTTTGCCAAAAATCATGTATAGCACACCTTTTTCTTCTTGTCCTCCCATATGACATACACATCTATGGGTTTATAACTAAGCAAAATTTTCCTAAATAATATGCACTTTCATCAACTTCTTTTTCATGCCTCGGCTTGCTCAAGATAATAGCAATAGTCCTTTTCCAAGGCCAGACAAACAATTCACCTTCTTAAATTGTTTGGTGGCAATGATTTCCTCCGATATAGATATCATTGAATTTGGTTTATTTGTTACATTTTTTTTCAAATATTATGCTAAAGCAAGGTGCTTTCCTTTTGCTATCCTCTTCTACTATATGAGCCAACACTTACCCTAGAGGCATTGCTTCCAAGTGCAGAAAGGGCACTTAAAGCTACAATTTGAGTTATTGACTATATATTTTCTACCTTTCAGTTGTTCAAAGGAACCTCTTGGTAGTAATCAATCTCGGATTCACTAATGTTTAACTTTTCTGAAATACTCTCCATTGAATTTTTTTTACATAAAAAATCACAAGCTGAAGATAAAGAAAAAGGGTTGCAGATGTTGAGATTCAAATATCAAACATGCTAAATGTCACCTTTTTAAGGGTAGTAAATTTCAGGTTTGCTTTCTATTGAATTTGCAGACTTATACAGATGGTAAAACTAAAGAAAATTACTATTAAAAAGTATTTGGTTCAGGAGAATATGAGATTTTCCTTCGAAATATTGTTTATGCGTATCTGATTCTCACATTTGGTTCATGGGTATCTGATTGCAGGAAAAATTTCAGATTCACATATTTGGTTCACGAATATCCAATTCAAAGATAAAATGTCATATTCTCAATATTACCTAAAAGTCCCAAAATAAAAAATTCAACTTATGGTATTTTGGGAAACTAATTTTATCTCAAATTTGATTTGAATAAAAAATATTTTCTTTCTAGTTTACCTTTTTAAAATTCAACGTATGGTGAAGAAATTTAAAATTTTTTCAAACAAACATTGTAATTGTGATTATTTATTGTGTTTCTTTAAAAACAAAAAGTAATATCTAACAACATTAAATAATAAGTCAACTAATGTACTAAGAAGTTAATTACTGTATATCTATTCAAGAAAATGCAATAATTGTTATTATTTATCGTGTTTCTATTCAAGGAAACGCAATAATTGCTAATGATAAACTAATTACTATGTTTTTATTTAAGAAAATGCAGTAATTATTCTTTGTAATTTTTTCAAAACATGTAAAAAATTTCAATTACTATATTTCTTTGAAGATAAACAGAGTAATTTACCATTGTAATTTATTTAAAAAATCAAATACTTTGTTTCTTTAAAAATAAACACAATAATTGTTCATTGTAATTTTTTAAAATAATCAATTATTACATTTTTTTAAAAATTACAATATATAATTACTGCATTTCTTTGAAGATAAACACATTATTTGTCAATTATTTTTATTTGACAAATTGTTGTCTTTGTTATGTAATGAAAGATATTATAATAAAAATACATTATTAAGTAATTTTAGATTCTTCCAAACTAAACACAAAAATCTAAAAACGAAATGCCATGGAAATTCATACTTCCCTCAAAATCACATTTTCCCAAAACTCATTTTCTTCCCAAATGTTAAATTTGGCAAACCAAACGTCTAAGTTATATGTTGAAATTTATTAGTATGAATAAAAAAGGAATTATCAAATTTACATCAAATAGACAGGCTTGAGTAATAAAACAAATTTGAACATTAAAAATAATTGTATAAAAAGTATCAAAATAGAATGTATGCAATACTCCATTAAAACAAGTTGATTCACCAAAGAAAAATTATGTTAAGGGGAAAACCTTAATATAAAGAACAGAGGAATAGCAATATGAGATTCTTTGGCAGCTTCAAGGACTAACTAATAAATAGAAAGGGACTGAAAAATTCTTTGCCTCCTCAAAACTTGCTTAAATTTGTTGCTATTTGCCTCATCTTTTTTTTTTTTTTTTCAAATGATTTCTATTCCCTAAAATAATATGTAATTATGAAATAAATTTAAAAGTGATTTCATTAGTTTACGAGTAAATCAAGTAAATTAATTAATACATGAATAAGATATTAAAATAAATTATTGAGAAATCAAGGCAAATTAAGTGTTTAGATAAAAATCCTTGAAATCCTATTCTCCACAGTACTAATAATCCATTTGAATTTTGAGGTCACATTAACAAAAAACTTATAAGTAATGATAACATTTTGCTTTACATCACTTGCACTTGCAATAATCTTTGCTACCATATCAGTAACCACTGTGACATAAAGGATAATACACAACCATCATTAATCAGATCAAGGAATTCAGATTTGCCAGTGTGATTGGCAGGTGAAATCCTTGTTAGATCAACAAACCAGCTGAAATTTAGTGTCCCCTTCCTGGTGTTTCAGAACATGGACAACTCAAACAACCCAGGCATACTAATCAACCTAACCTGGCTTCTCTTTGCAATACCTGGTTATAGAAAAAAGGGATCAGAGCTGAATCAAGTATATAACATCAGCCAAAACGTAAGAATCTTTGCCTGGGGGAGAAAACATAATAAATCTAGTTTACATTGCAACCACCATTAACTCGGAACTAATTGGAGATACCTTCTTCAGTGATAAATATGCATGTTATCCACATCAAAATAAGTCAATATCCCATGCCATGTATAATGTTAAGCAAAAGAAGAAGGAATAGCATATTCTTATGGAAGCTAGTAGCTACAGGTTGCTGTATAGGCTCTGAAAGCCTTCTTCAAATATAATAGAAGAATATACGTGGAGCTTTTCCCTTTCCATGCTGTGATGATAATGGTGATTATAGGAATTGAAATATGTTAGTATGGAAATGGTCAACAGTGGTGCCAAAAGATTTTTAAAAGTAAAAGAAAAAGACACTTGCATGACCATCTGAATATTGTTTAAGAGAATGAGAACTTAAATATATTGTATATGTTGAAAAAAGCGTAGAAAACCAAGCCCTAAACTATCTACTTCATACTTTTTTTTTTCATATCTGAAGCAACTCTCTTCTATTAGCACAACTATGATCCTTTAAAATTAGTTCATGATTATTTTTGGGTAAGCCAGCAGTCCATTAATTAGATCTAAAAGAGTGACAATGCTTCTTTTTATCCTGAAGACATTTGACCATATGAGTAAACTGACTTGATACATTACCACACTCCTAAACAAACCATGGAGAAAAATAAGATAGATATCATTGAATGAATCACAAACATGATAACAAGCATCAAATCCATTTTATTAAAAGGCACAACTACACTTGGGCACACCAGGCTTCAGTTATCAAGGGAATATTAGATGCAAGAGGATAAGAGTAGTAACTACCTCTTCAGCAAACTTTATCAAAATAGTTGTCCGAGGTCTTTGCTGTCCCTCCATGGGTACAAAATGAGCTGTTACTACTGCTGGAAATCCTGCACTATCCAAAACACCCTTCCAACCAAGAAAAAGAGCCTATAAGAGCTTCCTTCCACCAGATGATCAGTTATTTATACAAAAAAAAATAAATGCAGCACTTACCCTCACTATTCCAGCAACAAATGCCCCACAATTAAATGTCCCCATGTCTTTTGGAATTGAAATAAACCTACAATGCAAACAGACCAGTTGATTATTAATCTAGAACTACAGATCTAGTTAGCTGAAACAATGTCCTAAGTGATAAGTAGCGGGCCATGCATAACTTGTTCACAAGGAGTTCCTTCTCACTGATCATGTATTCGTCTTCATGTTCAGTGCCCTTCTCAAGTGAGTCAGCTACCTAACATAGTACAAAAAGAAGCTGGTAAGAGAAGTACTAATTGGAGTCTAAAATGATTTTAAGCATATGCAGAAGGTGTTGGCCAGCAAATTTGTCATGTCTATAGGCTCAAAGGAAATATAAAAATTGCGTTTCACAATATCATTAAAACTTTCAATTGTTGCACCAATAGACAAGATTGCAGGCTTACCTTTCCAAATAACACCTTCCAGACGGTGCTGTGCACAAAAGATAAAATACCCAGCAATCGAGTCTCCCTTCTATTTCCCTATGACATAACAAAACATTGGTTTAGTACTGGTGCTGACATCATGGAAGAATACCCATGTTCAAACAAATGAGCACACATCTTTGCAAGCAAATTGCCAAACCAAGATACACAAAATGACAGCAAATTTAAATGAGATACCACCACCAGACACATAAGGTAATAAGAACAGCATACTTGTATTACATCATGACTTTCCCATCAAATTAACAGAACTAAAACTCTATCTTAAGAAGGTAGATGCTCACTTGTAAGCAATACCTCAAGAATACTAATGAAGATTAAACTCGAGAACCTTAATGCTATTGGAGTCTTGAGTATAGCGTATGAATGTGTTGTACCTTATCCCTATGGCATAAAAGTTCAAGAACTCGAGCCCCGACTGCATACCCTGCATCCTCCAGCCTGATGCATTCCCATGAATAATATTAGATTCATTCACAATAGAAGAACCACTCACTGAACTAAGCATCATGGCAATATTTACTTTAATTTGAAATAAGGACCCTTTTGTTCTATTTTTCTTTCATTTTTCATTATCTTCTTCAATAAATAATCTAATTTCAAGTGCACATCGGTTGGAAATGGAAAGAATCAGCTGAGATATATCCAACATAAAAAAAATTTACCTCCTTTCTAATTCAGCAATGTTATCCACCTGTGTTTGATTGTACTGAACAAGCTCCGAAAACAAGAATGCAAATGCACTTAAGCTAACCTGCAATGGAAGCACAACAATCAACAGTTCGGAAATTGTGACTCCAAATTGGAAAAAAAAAATCCCCAATCAAAATTACCGCTGATTCGGTTTCTTCGCGTTTATATGAACTTTTTCAAATTTCCAAAGTAATTAGGAGCTCAACAGAATTTTTTTATTATTTTTAGACTAATTTGTGTGATTGGATCAGGATTTCTCAACTAATTCATGGCCAAAGCAAACAAGTCAATAATAATAAAAAAAAGTTGGATCTCAATATTGCAACAAAAAAAAAATGGTGAAATATGGAAAAGATCTGGACCTCAAATTACTTGCTAAGAATATGAAAATACAGTTTAAATAAAATAGAAGAAAAAAAATAGCAAGTCTTGAGTTCAAAATTTTATATCGTATTTTAATACATATCAGAGGAAGTACAAACAATAGAAGAATAAAATAAGAGAGCGAGAGAGAGTGAAGGAACCTCTTGTTTGCCTTTGCTTAGGGGCTTGTCGAGGACGTTGGAGTATTGCTTGATCTTCCCGACTCCGATCATTTTTTCCTTAAAAAATAAATTTTATTTTCTGTTTGGCTGCTAAGAAAACTGCAGGAAAAAAAATGAATCAGCTACTAGCAATGCGAAACACCGAGCGAGAGTATGCGTGCATTCACTATGCAAGCCGTTTTGAACCGCCGGTCTAATTGGTTTTTTCCTCCGTACACAGAGCGCCCACGTGTTTTTTTCCTTTTTCTTTTTCCATAGCTTAATAATAATAATAATTTTAAATTTAAATTTCTAAAATAATTAATAACATAATATCCTTCCATTTGCACATGTGAAAAGAGAAAAAAAAAATATGGTAACTCCTGCTTACTTAAAGTCAGTTTCTTATTGTACTGCAAAGCTTAAATTTCATGAAAAAAAAACCTTAAATTCAAATATACCAATTCTCGAAAGCAAATTACATTTAAATAATCTTTATTTTTCAAAATTTTTATTTGAAATCATAAAATAAAAAATCTAATATTTTTATTAACAAATCAAGCAAATTTAAATTTTCATAATAATTATATAAAATAATAGGTATTTTAATTTTTTTTAATTTGATATTGACATTATCTTCATATTGATGTTGTTTTTAGTATAAATAAGGTCACATATTACGATAAAAAAAATTATAAAAGAAAGATTTTAAATGTATTGAATATCATATTTTAAAATTAATTTTATGAATTTAATTAATTCTTAAATTCATTAAACAAAGTTTTCATATATAAAAACCCTTAAAGAACTGCTATCTTACACATTCATGAATTGCACATTAGCTCTATATTAAGGTTGGTCGTGCTCTTAAATTTCATTTTTCTTTGTTTTTATTCATTCATATTCCTCCTCCATTGATTAGATGGAAGGTAACAAAAAAATGAAAAAGAAAATTAAATCAATGTCAGTCAATTATAATCTTTCAATTGATTTACCTAATTGCTTGATTTTAACACCTTTATTATCGTTCCCTTCCCCTTATCAAAATTTTAGGCAAAAACTTCTTTTCAAAAAAAAAAAAATCTTGAAAAAGGATAAGAAATTTCAAAGGAGATAAAAGAAAAAAGAAATGAAAAGAGAAAAGGAGTAGAAATAAGTAAGAAAATTCAATGTAATGTAATCATAAAAAAGTTTGTTAAATGCATCCCATCTTTTTTTTCTTTACATTTTATTTATTTTAAAATATTTTTTATACAAATTTTCGGATATTCATTATTTTTTAGAAACCATAACACTTTTAAAAAATATATTTTTGAAAAATATTATGATTTTTTAAAAATAAAATTTGAAAGTTATAAAATTTATGAGATGGATATTTTAATAATTTTCAATAACAAAAATTTAAAAAAAAAAAGAGATGTATAAAGAAAAACGTGGGTAAATTTAGAAGTCCCAATTATAAAGCCTCTCTGTTAACGAAAGCAACCTTTCTTTCTGACGCTCTTTCTCTTTTTCTGTCTTAGCCTTTCTTTTTCTTTTTGACAAATTTCGATGGGAGATGACGATGAGTTTGGAGATCTATACACAGATGTTTTCAGGCCTTTTTCATCAACCTCCTCGATAACACGCCAGCCTTTTCCCACACCTTCACATCTCCACCCTCTGATCGATCTCAACTTTCAATCTTAAGACGATGATAACACCATTTTCGGAGCTCCACGTCCAATTCCCACCACCCAAACCCCACCTTCTATTAAATCTCATTTTCTTCATACTATTCCTGCTGTAGCTACGGATTCGATCCCTAACCATGATTTAGCCTCTGAACCAATGGTTTTTGGTTCTAAACAAAAACCCGTCGATGGAAAAAACAGTTAAATTTGATATAGAAGAGCAGGTAATGATGGAATCGCGGATATCAGCTCAGCTGACCCAATAATTTCGAGTTTAACAAAATCTATTCGCTAGGAAGATTCTGGAAAGAACAATAACGGAAACGATAATGAAATTTGAGGTGGTGAAGTGGAAACCGATGGAAAAAGGAATGACTGGGATCGTGACAGCGAAGATGATTTACATACAGTGTTAAACAACAACAACAACCACCACTCGACGGTTATGGATAGATGAGGAATTATGGGGGAAGATGATGAAAACGATGAAGATGAGGACCCGCTTGTGATAATGTCTGATGGAGATGCAAACCAAGGGATAAAGGTGAAGGAATGGGGTGAAGAAGAAAGGCATGCGGTGAATGGGGAAAGGGAAAAAAAGGAAGAAGTAGGGAATATTAGGGACATTGGCAGCAACGGAGGCAGCCTGGTTGCTCCGAAAATTGCGTACAGAAATCATGGGTACCATCCATTTCATTCTCAGTTCAATGTGTTAACACGTCGATGATGTTATTGTCGTTAAATTTAGGGATGTAACATAATCCGAAGAGTTTTGATTCAATTTTATAGGATTATTTGTTTTTTTAAATTGATTTTTAAGTAAGATTAGATTGGATTCGAATTTTAAATAAATTCGATTTGATTTGATATTATATAAAAAATTATTTTTTAATTTTTATTTATATATATTTATATATTTATATTTAAAAATAATATTTTATTAATTTTAAGTTAAATCGAATTAGATATAATTTATATAATATCAAATAAGATAAGATTCAAGTATGAAAAAAGTAAAAAAAATTTCACGTCGGATCGATTTAAATTTTATAATTATAAAATCAGATCAAATTCAAGATGAATAAAAATTCATTCGATCCAACTCGATGCATTATCAATCTTAATTAAATCAAACAATTTGGAAACATTCGGCAAAAATGGGGTTTTTGCTTATGATATGCCCCAATTGTTTGATGAATAATTAGGATTTCGTATGGTTCTTGATTTTTAAACTTTGTACAAAATGAAATGATAAATAACAGTTTTTTTTATCTTTTTGTAAGTGGTGAAGATTTGAATGCAGATTACATTGTGATGTTTTCTATTTTGACATCCATAACTAGTTTTTTTTACCCGTGCCATGACAGAGTTTTTATTATAATTTTTATAATTAAAAATTTTAATTTATATAAATTTTTATATTATATATAGATAAATAAAAATAATCATAATCATTTTATAATTTGTAGTGTAAAATTAAAAAAAAATCTAAATAAGCATTATAAAAGTAAAATTATATATAAATATCAATGAAAAAATTAATCTCTTATTCACAATTACAAAAATTTTTAAAATATATATTATTTTAGTATAAAAGTTAATATTTACACATATGATATATCATGAAAGATTTTTTCATATTTAATTTTGAAACTTTATCTTATCAAACTTTTATGACAAAAAGAATAAAATATTGATTGTGAGAAAAAATCATAAATATATATTTAATAATTATTTAATTGAAAAAATCTAAAATTTAAAAATTTAGTTTATCCAAATTTAATTTTAAATTAAGATAAAAGAATTTAGTATAATTTTAAATTTAAATATATATGTAATTTTAAATTGAGATAAAATATTTTTTATTTTAAATTATAAAAAATAAAGACAAAAAATTGATAAATAACAGTGGTTTAACCATAAATTTTATTTATTTAAATTTATATGAATATTAATTTAAATGGTGTATAATTTTTTATGATTTAAGAATTTAACCTTTAAAAATTATTTGGATTGGATAAAAGTGAAATATGTGAAGATTATTTTATTAGATTTAAATTAAGATAAATTTTATATATTTTAAAAGTTTTGATAAATGTAAATTTTGAAATTTTAAAACTTTTAAAAATTAAATAATTGATTTAATAAAATTATTTGAAAAAAATATTATGTGTCAATAATATAGATTATTCATCTAAATATTCACGTAAATAAATTTTATTAAATTTTTATGTATATTATAATATAATATTATGTATGATATGATATGAATTTGATAAAGAATGAAAAGCTTGAGCCTGTCCACGTCATCCATTTTTTTCCTTTTATTTTTGGTTTTATTTTGAAGAGAATGTCATCCTTTTTTTTTTTTTTTTTTTAATTTTATTGGTGATGGCATCAAATTAACTTTTTTTTTTATCTATATAGTATCCTAGATATATAAATTACTTATTAATACTCATAAGTTATTTATATTCTATTTAAATAAAATTTAACTTTGATTTGATTATTATCGAATTAAATTTAACTTTAAATAACTTGATTCATTAATCGAATTAAATTTAAATATTTTTATATTTGATACGAATAATTTATAAATTTAATCAAATTTTTATATTTAAATATATTTTTATTATTTTAATTAATAAAATATCTCAAATTTAAACTTAAATTTAAGTACAAATAATTAAATTTTTATATAATATAAAATTTATTTTTATTTTTATATATTAATTAAACTTAAATAAAAAAATTAAATAATTTAATTTTTATCTTAAATTAAATTTATATTAAAAAAATAAATTTAATTAAATTTTAAATTTTAAATAAAATTTAAATTTAAATTTAATATTATATGACCCAATACAATTTTCATCAACTTTTATTTTTTATTTTTTTCGAATTTTTTAAAAACTTTTTGTGATGAACATGAAGTCAATCTCTTTATCCAATCCAATCCAATACAATAAATATTACTTAACTTTGGAGCCTTCTGGCACATCTCTATCGTTCCTTTTTTTTTATTTCTCTTAGTCATATTATTTTTCTCTCATTCTTTTCTTTCACCTTAAATCAAAACCAACTTTTTATTTCTCACACACCGCCTTCTGTAAATTTTCTGAAATTAGAGAAGGAAAATTGCAAATATATTTTTTTTTTTTGCATATTCCTTCTTACTGCCTAACATCTTCTTTCCATATCTTCTCTAAAAAATTGTAAACCCCTCGTAAAGAAGTCCTGTTGAATTTCAAGATGAGTACCGGAGGAAGCTCTTTCAAATCTTCTACGTTCAAAATAGAAAATCTTTTCCTTCAAAAAGCTCCCAACATATCTTATTCCCAAAAGACCCTCCATCGCTCTCTCAATTTTCAGATTGGGACCCTAACTTTCTGAACATGAACCATTATTACATTTACAAAGCCTTCATTTCTTGGCCTAGTGACTAAGAGGCTTTAGAGAAAGCATGTGGACACGGGTTCTAACACTACCATCCCCCTTCCCTTTTATAAGGGCTTTACCCCTTCTATGAATAATAATAAAAAAAAAAGCCATCAATCGTGGCAAATACTCGGTAAAAACCTTTCATTCTTTCAAATTTTGTAATTTTTTTGTCTTGATTAAGTTAAAGTTTTCTACGTTTTTTTATTTATTTAAATTTTTAAATATTTTTTTTATCAATTATGTTAAAAAAAAAAAAAAAGGAAGAAGAAGAAGACATTTGAGTGTTTCGCAATCAAAAGCACCAATAACATGACTATAGACCTTTCGGTATCAATCACTTGAAATTTACTACATTTTCAAGTCCATTTTTTTTATGAGAATACAGCTTGGATGAGAACACGGCTTGGATGGAGTTTTATAACAACAATGATAATTTACTACATTTTCAAGTCCATGCTTTTATGAGAATACAGCTTGGATGAGAACACGGTTTGGATGGAGTTTTATAACAACATTGATAGTAAGTTTGGTGGTGGTGGAATTCTCCATATCAATGTAATAACTTTGGCTTTTTGTTCCATATTTATTCTTTTTTAAAGTTTTGCATGTTTTGGAATCTGGGTCTTCAATTTCTTTTGTTCTCTTTCCTTATTTTCTTTAGCTCATTAGCTTTGGTTCTCTATTTTTGTTCTCTCTATCTTATATGATTGCATCAAATCATAATCAGTTGATGCGTCAGAATAGTTGTAGTGTGGATTTCCTGGTATGACTAAAGTTCTTGTCCTTGATAAAGATGGAGAATGTGGCGAAAGCTTATGATCTAAGGTTTGTGGTGAACATTAGTGAGCTTGGGGAGGGTGACCCACTCATGCAAAATGTAAGACCTCTTTGCATTTTCTCTAATTTCTTGTCAAAATCGAATTTTTATAAACGGTAGATTCTACTCATACAGCAAAAATCCTTTTCAATAAGTTTAATATAAAAATTATCTCTGGCTTGGTTTCCATAGCTAGTATTGACTCTAGATATATATATTCTTTGCAGGTGACCAGGCTCTCCACATTACTGAATGTTCCCTGGTATTCATCCTCTTGCCAATCAAGTGTCTGACTTGCGTACATTAGCATCATATGCGGAAGTTATTATATTTGCTGCAATGTCTTGAATTCAAATGCTTTATAAGGATAACAACATGTTTGCATTGATTTGTCAGCCTTGCTTCAATTTGTAGTGATGGATAATGATGCTTGTAGGTACACCACTGGAGTTTCTGAACGTGAGGACCTTGATTGCTTTCTCCAGCAGATCAAATTACCTCATGGGAGAATATTAGATATTGTTAGTTTGAATATTGCTTTGCTGCAGGTGGATTTTTGTGTGTCAAATCCTGCATCTAAATTCATTCTTTTTTCACTTAAAGTATGATGAGATATAAAAAGAAAAGCCTAATGGCTCCTGCACCATCCCTTAGAATATCTGTAAGAGATTGGTGTCAGTTATGTTGTTATTACTTTTAGTCATACTTCTTGGTTTCAAACCATATAGTTTGGCTATAGGGATATCACCATGGTGAGAGGTCCTGCATGGTAGACTGGGGTATTTTGCTGTCTTGTTGCTATACCCTGGAATTTGAATGTGTTTACTCTGTTTTTTAAAGAAATTGTTCACTTACCTTTTGTCTTACTTATGAGCATAAATATCTGTATTAATTTTCTTTCTTCTTTCCTATAATTTGGTCTCATTATGCAATTGTAAGGACACAATGCTTGTCGGATCATCAAATGGCATGAGGGACAATCTGTTAAATTGGCTTACAAGGACGCTAGAAGCAACCACTAGTAGCTGGTAAATGAGTCTATAACTTGTTGGCTGGTTGTACTTTAATTTTGTAGTAGGTTTAGCTAACTTAAGCATTGACAAGGGTTTTTGTTTTTTTTTATCCCAGTGATAATATTAAAGATCTGAAATTGAAATATAGTCTCAGTTGAGTTAGCACCTGTTGTTTTAAGTGAGAAATCTTGCATTTTTGGCTCTTTAGCAGTTGCTCCAGCCCACAGAAGTTGAAACCTTGAGAATTAGTCCATATTTTCTTGGCTTCTACTGCTTTTTCCCTCAAGCTGCCTCTTTGAGTTTCAGCTTATTATTGGATGCTTATAGATTTCCATCCTAGCAGTAATTTTTGTCTTGTGATCAATGAACCCAGGCGCATAGTAGTTGGATTCCACTCATTGGTTGCACGTGAAGAGAATGACAAGCAGTTGATTGCAGAGCAGATTCATGAGCCTCTACACCATATATTTGTGAAGTTGGGAGTGGTAAGTGAGGCTTCTTCAGATTCAGTATTATAATGAACTCCAGTATCAACATTAATTTTGAATAAACTCAAAGGGAAATGGCAAATCTTTTCTTTTCTTTTTTTTCATTTCAACATGATATTGCTAGTAATCATTAGGCTTAGACTGACTCTTAGTATTGTGCTTGTTTGTAGAATGTTTACCTAAGCCAGCAAGGTTGCTATAGCTATGCCCTTCAAGATAGCGTTGCTTATATAGGTAACCCAGGTTTGACTGAAGCGAACTCTCATTTGGCTTCTGCCAATGGGAGATTCCTAGTTAGAAAGTGAGTTATTTTTTAAATTACCTCATGTCAATCTGTTTTCTATTTCAAATATTCATCCTAAAATGATTTTTTTTGGTCTTTTTGTTTCTCCAGAGAAATGATTAATGGGTTTCTTCTCCGTAGACTCAGCTTGCTGGAGATGGTAAGTAGTTGATTCATTTTTAATTGATCATAATTCATGTCCAAAAGACTTATGGGTGTTTGAACTTAAAAGTATCCGTAAATTTTTGTATGGTCCATTGTTTTTATAAGGCATTGGATGTGTAAATCTTCTCTTTTTCTTGCCAAATCCCTGAATCTCATTAGTAATGCATCCTCCAATCATTGTATGCCAGGTGACCTACTTGGTTACCTTAGCAGGGTCGGTGGTGAACAAAGTTGTAGTCCAACAAAGGGGGAGAGAGGTCATGTAAATGTCTAGTGGTGAAAGCACATCAACAATTCTTTGAAGCCACTATTCAGTTGCTTCCAGGATTTTCAATTTTGTTTGAGCTTCTCTCAGTTGTCCTTCAATTCTTCAACAATTGTTGTAGATGGCATTCAATTTACAGTACATCCATCATCTATTGGGGTGATCGTTCAGCTTGTTCCTCCTTGTAAATTATCACTTGCTAGTGTTGTATGTCATCATAAATTTCAAATGTTCCCTCCTTGTTCTCTCCAAAATGTATTGGCATTTGAAAGTCGAAAAAAATTTTTTGTCAATCAGTTGGATGATTTTGGATATGATGCAGAATTGTAATTTCTCTGGCTAAAGCATGAATTTAAATAGTAAGACTATCCATCATACGGCATCTCTTGAAAGGAAGAGATTCAGCCCAGAATTTTGATGTACGTTTAAGAATCAACAACACGATCAAGGTTGAGAATTCAAGTTCCCTTCCAACACGATCAGAAATTCAAATGAAATTCATTTGTTATGAAAACTAATCCCAGTTGTTTGTTCGCTATAGTACAAAACATGAAATATTAAGCTAAGAAACACAAAAATAAATCATGAAATATTACGCTTTAGAAAAACAGTCGGGAAAAGAAATCAAAGTTTTAGAGTTAATAGTCATTAAGGTCAATGTCCCAGAGAGAGTGACGTGAGCGCCATGATTGCTGCTAGACAAAGACCAACGTTGGCAGTAATTGCCATGCCACTAGAAGAAGGTGCAGGTGCACCTGGGGAACCGGGCGTTCCTGGTGAAGCTGTAGATGATGATACATTGGCTACTGGCGGAAGTGGAGGGTCAACAACATCTGCAATCTCAAGTGGTGGATTGGGGGGATTTGCTCGTGGCTGTGTTATGGCAGGAACTTGCTTAAGCAGTGCACCAGGTTCAGCTGGTATGATGGCAATCTCTCCATTGAGATCCACACATGGGCTCCCTGCAGCACCAAAGCAAAGTTGTAGCACATGTTATTTGCATGCATGTAATAAAATCATGGTTTGTTATGAAAAATCTTCAGTAACTTTGACTGTGATGAAAATAGCAGGAAATCAATTTTTATGATTGAATCACTCACTCATATATTTGCTGGCTGTTCCAGGAAACTCTGTTATAACCCCATCAACTTCTAGTGCTGCAACATAAGTAGCAAGCTCCACCATTGGATCCGCATAGAAATCAAACGGAAGTGCAACAAATTCATTTCTCAAAACAAAGACGTATACTGAGATATTTGCAGCGTGCATTTCATCAAGAACATTTGTCTGAGCCTTAAGAAAGCCATTTTCAATTGAAATAAGGGAAGGTCTTGCAAAAACAACTCCATCAGCATACTTCTTGATTTCATCTACTGTCTGTTTAGGAGCATCACCTATCTCCTCTTCAACGCGTAACAATCTTTTGTAAGCTGGGACACCTTGAAACTTGGACAGCACTGAACTGTCGTCTGATAGGATCAAGACTTGTTGAGTTTGTTGCTTGTCAAAGGTTGAATTACTCAGGGCTTTGGTAACAGAATCCACTATGTCAAGACCTTTTCTTGATGCTAAGTATGCAGCATTCTGGAGAGGCATCGGTGTTAGAATTGGCAGAAAGTTAAGAAGTCAAAACGTGAGTTGGATGTTGGAAAATAGAAATAAAGTTAAAATTTTTACTTCTATGTTTATCAAAATTCCAGAAACTGCCTTCGCCTTAGCCAACTCCAGAAAGTCAACGAGTGTCATGAATTTCCCCTTGTTCTTGGCTTCAGGGTTCCTTTGGTAGCCAGCATTTTGTCCAAAAGGGCTTACCATTTGAGCTAAGGAAAAAAAGATAGACCATTAGTGGGAATGTGCTAAAAGATTATAAAATCGAACTTCTGTGGCTGTATGTGTCAAATGTGTTAAAGAAGTTTACGTTTCAAGGTCTGGATCTCGCTCCATGTAAGATCAAATGAAAACACTCCCTTATCCTTTTGAACTTCAGGAACGGAGGAAGAGCGAGACATGAAGGCAGGCATTGCAGTAGTATCCCCTGTCAGATCGGCTGAATCTAAACAGAAAGCTACTCCATCTTTTGACATTTGGACTGAGCAATCTATTATGTCAGCTCCATCGTTTACTGCTTGCTCATAAGCGAGATCAGTGCAACCAGGATAAATCCCACTTGCTCCATTGTGAGTTATGATCAAAGCTTTCCCTTTGAAAGGCACAAAATCTTAGGGAAACATTATATTTGGTTTCCTCAAGCATCTATAAAAGGTATGGTAATATATGGTACATTTTTTAATTTTATAGAAAGGTAACTTGTTTGAAGGATTCAAACTTAGCACTTACCTTTCTTGGGCTTGGCGGTTTCATTAGTTGCAAAGCATGCTGCATCAGAAAGACCATTTGGAGGGGGTTAATCACAACCTCAAATACACGAGTATGTAGCTTATATTCATGCTTTAGTTGTTTAATTTGTTTTTCACTGGTTGACTGATTTTTCTTTGATATGTATATAAGAATTGTGATTAAAACAGAAAAATGGCAAAGCGCTACAGCAGTCTATAAGCTCACCAATGGCGTTTGATGCTGTAGGGGAGAAATCTGTAAGCAGCCCGTCAACAGAGTACTGGGGATTATCAATGAACTGCAAGTACTCAGTTGTTGGATCATAACTATAATTGTAACTTCCTGGCACATCATTTGCAAAACCAGAAGCATATACTTCTAGGCCGAGCTTGTGAGCATCAGCCACAAGAGTAGTAGGATTTCCCAAGTATTTGTTCGCATCAACAGGCCATATGTATCCTTTGGGGACAAGAATTCCTGATGCAAATTGCTTGATGGCTGAAAGATCGTTCAATATTGCGCTGTACTTTTGGTTGGTTGTGGGTTCAACTACATCTGGATCTAGGAACTCAAAGATGAGTTTTGTCCTGGCTCTGTTAACCTTTCCGTTCATGTTCTTCAAGAAACCAATCTCAGGAGATGAAATGAAATTTATGCCCATAAATCTCATTGCCTTTTCAAGATATCCTGACACACTGAGTTTGTGTTCCGTACAGAAAGCGTCATACTGCAAAAAGAGAACAGACAAATTAGGGAAGGAAGCCATTTTAGCTGTTGCGTTAATCTCATGTTTTCTCATTCTGAGGTAGTGATGAAAATAAAAAATGGAGAGAGTAGAGAAAATCTTCTCTGAAAAAGGTAAAAAGAAGTGGCAGAGAAATAAGAAACCTGAACATTCAACCAAAACACAGAGGGTTTAAGTCCTGTGACATCCTCAACAGTAGATACCGGCAGTTGACCATCAAACGCATTTGTTCGGGACAATACATTTTGAACCACTGCCAGCGAAAAAAACATGACGAAGCACAAGTTGTTTAGGAATCTTATACCTTATAAATTTGTGGCTTCAAACCTATTTTACTCTCTTCACCATTCTTCCGTTGGATAGAGAAATAAGATATTGGTTATAAAGTAGGAAGATTTGAGACTTACACGACACATTGTTCATTATTACATCAGATGAGTAATCTACTGAAAACCAACCCTTAACCTTTTGTCCATTAATGTTGTATGTCTTGGAATCTTTTGGGAAGATCATTGCTATGTTGGTTGAATTGTCAAGCCTGATATCTGTCAGGCATATGCCAATGCCATCTTTTGTCAGCTGTAGATTGCAGAGCAAAGCCACTTCCGTAAATTTTAATTGATTGGCCATGTCATTTGCATATGAGCTGGATTCAGGAAAAAGCCCCGAGAATCCACCGCGAGCAATTACAAGGGGTGGTTCACCTAGCGACCAAACAGAAAGCCAAGGCTATCTCAATTCACAGCCTTTCACTTATATCTTTGCAAATATAATTGTTTAAAAATTGAGGTGCAAAGAAAAGAGAAAAAAAAAAAAACTAATTGATTCTGCAGGGAAAAAAAATTGTGTTACCACTTAAAGTTGGCCAATTCTTTACAGGAGCCTGAGACTTGGCAGGTTGAAATTGGTTTTTTGCTAGAGAGGCATGGATCAACAGGAAAATCAAAAGCAAACACCTGATCATTTTGCCCCCAAAAATCCTGCAAATCTGTTTGATAGAAACGGCCTATATAATAGGAACAGGACATAAAAACCATAACAGCAATTGATCATTTGATAGAAACAATCAAAACACATTCTTTTTCTTGTCAAGGTTTTGATATCAAACACAAAAAAAAAAAATTTTGACAGATCATGGTGCATAGTTTTACGAAGGATTTTCATCAAATCTTTTTTTCTTTGTTTCATTTGATGAATCTGAAATTGGCTGACATCTAAACTTTGCAATTATTTAAAACAACAGAAACATCATCATCATCAATAACACAAAGTTAAATACATCTTAGGATACTGTCTAACAAGAAAAAAAAAAAAAAGCTTACCCGAACCCTGTTTGATTAGATGTGTAAAAAGAACATTCCCTTGTCAAGTTTCACATAAACCGTAGAAGAAACTCTCATAGGGAATGCAATGCAATGAAAAGCATAGAAAAAAGAGAGGTTGGGAGAGATTAACTGGTTTAAAGTTTTCTTATGATAACTCCCCACAATTTTTTCGCATTAATAGCTGGTCAGAATTTATTTAACTGAAAGACCAGTTTTTTTTTTTTTTTTTTTTTTTTGGTTTTTTTAACCTTTTATATTAAAAGGGGCTCATAGTTATTTGCTATTCTTGTTCCTGTTTTTATGGACAACAAATTACTTAAGCGGGAAAGAACAACTCAAAAATCTAACGGCTTAACCGGTTTTTAAAACTCCCAGCTGCTGCCTTTATCAAACCTTGATTATGGTTTCTTTTAAGCAGTTTTGTCTTATATATATATATATATATATATAGGGTTAGATAGATTAGAAGATCAATGTATTTTTGACAAAAGGGAAGAATTGGAACTCACTCAACTATTTATGTTAATTGATTTAAGTATGGTGATTAATTTTTAATAAAGCTAGAAGGTTAAAAAAAAACTTTCCAATAAAAATTTAATAATCATTCAAATTCTTATTATTTTATTAGAATCAATTAAGTTTTTGAGTATCTTTTTTCATCTATTGAGCTCTTGTTAAACAAAAATTGATTAATCATTAACATCAATTTTCATCTAATTAAGAGTTTTAATTTAGGTGAAAATAGATGTTTTAAAGATTTGATTAGATAAAAATAAATGTTTAAAGATTTAATTAATTCAAATAAAAAGTTCAAGACTTAATTAATTACATTAAAATATCAAAGTTTAAGTGATTATTAAATTTTTATTTATGGTTTCTTTTACTCCATTGCCTTTTAATAAGGATTAACATCATATAGTTTGTAATAATTTGTATGATAACAAG